CCCCTGTCTGTGCAGCAATGTCGAGCACGAGCGTCGTATCCCGTCGTTTGGCGGGAGATCGATCAAACGTCCCTCCTCTGCCTCGGCAGACGCTCAATTAATGCCTTTGCGATTAGACAAATTTGTGTACAACAGCCTTTGTAATTTGCACCAGCATGCACTAACGCATCGGACTCGTTATCGGACGCACAAGACGGAGGCGAGCGTCGCCGATGTATCACCCGCGTAAGAGACATTCATCGGATTAACACCACTGAACGGCGATGCCTGATTTCCACGCTTGCGCCGACAGCCACAGGAGAACGGCGACGGAGGCACCGCGCGTTCCGTCCGAAAGGGAAGAAAAAAAACGTGCGAGAGAATCTTAGCAGCGACGTGGAATTCGGGGCTTTCTCTCGCCGAGGGAGCCCGGATTTATGCGCTTGGAAGCGATGCGTGACAGCCGAGGAAGATCGAAAAGTACCGTCGGTCGCTGAGCCCCGAGCGAGGATTTCGGCGCGTGTGCCGCGAACATTTTTCCGTCATCGGTTTTTCCCCGCCCTTTCGTCGCGGAGTGGGCGGCGCCGAACGGGGCGACCGCCCCCGGCGGTCGGGCGAGCGCACGGTATTTGCGCGTAGCGGCCGCCACAATGTCGGCGCGGCCTGGCGCGGCCTCGCGCGAGCGTCACGATAGGCAGACGCGGTTCCGGCTCGCTCGGGCACGGCACCAACGGCGCGCCGGCCGACGCGGAGGGTTCGTCCCGTTCCGGGTAGCGGCGGCTCACGGCGATACCCAATGAGCGGCGAGACACGGGGGTCGCACCGCCCGCGCGACGGCGCTCGTCCAATGACCGCGCGGCGGATCTCAGCATCCACTTCTCCGGCGTCGCGGCCTCTCCGCTCCTCTCCACGGCGTATGGAAACCCTTCTCTCACACGCAAAAGGGGACATCTCATCACGACTCTTGGTAGCAGGCACTTCTCCGTAGTGGGCACTCCACTCATCGTGTCGTCGTACGGGTTCTCCGCGAGAGGCTGTGGGGCCTGTGCCCGGGCGGGCGAGCAAGCGAGCGAGCGAACGAGCGCGAGCGCGAGCGCGAGCGGGCGAGCGCTGGTCGAGTGGGTCTAAGCGGCCGTGAGGACCTCTCCAGGAGTACCCGACAGAAGTCCTCTCCATTCATTCATCCATCCATCCAGCCAGCCAGCCAGCCAGCCAGCCAAGCCAGCCAGCCAGCCAGCTAGGCAGGCAGCCACCCAGCCAGCCAGCCAGCCATCCATCCATCCATCCATCCATAGAGCGGCTCTTCTCCGTAGGAGAGTGTATCCTCGACGAAGGTGGAGGCGAAGCGTAGAGTGGTACATCTACCATCGTCTCTCTATCGGCGGAATCCAAGGACTCCAAGACCCCCGTGTGATTTCAGTCGGCCGCCGGCCGGCTCTGGCCGGCCACTATCCTCGACCACGTGTGCAAGGTCGCCGTGTCACCCAGCGTGTCCCTCGTCCGTTTTGGGTTTCCGTGGCGCGAAACGGCAGCGGCGATTCCGGGAGAGCCATCCGAGTCGGCCGCCGGCCGACCGCGGCCTCGTGTACTCCGGTTATGTGTGACGGCTCGCCGTGCGCCACGTGACGTCGCGTCGCCCAAGTCTCTTCATGCCAGTCCTGCGGCGCGGGGCCGTTTCTCGGGAAGGTATCCGGAGGACGACGACGGATATATAGGAAAGAAAATGGATAAGACGGCCAGCATCGACGGCGTCGTCAAGTAAAGTATCGGCGCGGACGGGGCGGGTTGGAGTTCGATACGGTTCGCTGAGAAAAAACACGGTCGGTGCGCGCAGCATCTCGCGAATCCGGAGCGCTACCAGTGAGCTGTAACGTGCCTGTGTGTAGAAATTTGTTTTCGCGCCGTTGCAAAAGCTATGCGTGCGTTTAAACGTCATCACGGAAGGAGAGAAGGGGACGAGCACGGGCACCACATTGATTTCGGGGTCGAACGGCCCCGGTGTTGGTGAAATCCTTTATTTAATTGTGCGCCCGTGCTCCGTCGTGCTAATAAGTGAGCGGCGTGTGACTTGTGGCATTGTGAGATTAACTAATAGTCGTGTGCACTGATCTTCTCGAGTGAGCGATCGCGCGACGAGTACTCTCTCTCTCTCTCTCTCGAGGTTCCGCGGTGATCGAAGATCGGACATTCGGATTTCGGAGTCGATCGATCGCGGGGGACGCGCGAGTGGTGGATGAACTAGACGGTAGGGAATCGTTATTTGTCAAACGCTCTGGGACCGTGTCCCCTCAAGCGTGAACGCATTGCTACACTGGAATGCAACTTAATGATTAACAAAAGCGTGAGGCTGGTGCGGAAAGAAAATAAAAAAAGAATAGAATAGAATAAAGTAAGATGAAATAGAAAAGAGAAGAAGAAAATAGGGTTAAAAGAAAGAGGAGAGAGCGCGAAGGGACAGAAAGGGAGCAGTAGCGTCATAATGCGCCGTTGTTACGGCTAGCGCCGGCCTCAACATTCCGCGAAGCGCGAGCTTCAAGTACTTCGACGGCGTCGGGCTTGCCGAGATGAGCGGTGGCAGCGGCGGCGGCGGAAACGGTGGCGGTAATCAAGGCGGTAATGGCAGCGCCACGACTTATCACCAACACCAACAGCAGCAGCAGCAGCAGCAGCAACAACAGCAGCAGCAGCAACAGCAGCAGCAATCGCTGGACCAGGCCGGCCTACTGTCGGACCTCAATGGCATTGACCTGGCGATGAGCCTGTCGCCGAAGCAGCACTCGTCTCACGTGCAAGCTGCCGGCGGTGCCCACACTACGCCCTTCAGTGTCACTGATATCCTGTCGCCGATCGAGGAGTCCTACCGGAAGCTCGAGCTCGCCGCCGCTGCCGCTGCCGTCGGTGTTGGTGTCGGCGTAGTGACGCATTCTCAGGGTTCGCCTTACGGGAACGCGTGCGGTGCACGGGTGGGTGGTAACACCGGTAGCTCGAGCGCGAGCAGCGGCAGCCCGCCGCTCCACGGCGGTTCGACGCCCGGCGGCAGCACCCCCGGACCGGTATCCGTTGCCAACGGGGCCGCCCCCGGTGGCGGTGGTAGTGCCGGCGGTGCCGGCGGAGGCATGAGTGCCATGGGTAATCCTTATGCAACCATGCAGCTCACGTCGCAATACCAATATTGCGCCGCGGAATTGTCGCCGTACCATCACGCCGGGCCCGGCGTGGGCGCCACGGCCACCGCCACGGACCCCATGAGGTCGCACGCGGTGTCGTCGCACCATCATCCGTGGTACGCACCGGCGCCACCAGCCACCAACGATCCGCGCTTTGCCAGTGAGTAGCTTTTCTTTTATTCAAAGCGAACGGAGGAGCCGCGGTCATGCCGGAAACGAACGAAACCCGTGAGAGTTTAGCTGAATTAGCTGCGCTCGCCGTTGCAAATCTGTGGCGTCGGAGTTTTGTGTTCAAGCGAGCGCGCGGAAAGTCAAATGTAGCCGCCGTAGCTAACAGCTGCACGTGGCAGCTAAATATCAGTTGTAAAATATGGACGGCTAATATTGCGATAGGTAAATCTTTCGCTACTGTGCCTATTGTATCAGATGCGACAGCAATTCGTTTGCTGTGGTTTAGAAATTTATAGTTATGGCAGCAAAATATTTTCAGCGAGTCACGATTAGCTGCGGCGGGGAAAGATTATTTTTCAGCGCGGGAGATGAATGAAATAGAAAAGAGCAAGTGTCCTCCGATGCCTCAGATTTGCAGCTATTGTTACGTAACACTCTCGAGTAAATTATAACGTGTATACATTGTCAGATTCGTGAAAAAGAGAGAAGATGCGAACAGTACGCCGTATTTAGCAAAATGGCGTCGGTACGAATTGCCCATTTAATCTCGTTAATTCCATCTCTGTCCTTGTCAAGCTTGCTATGAAACTCAACTACGTCCTACCAAATATTTTCCAAGGGATTATTTCCTTATCGCGGCTTTGTTCGCAAAGCCCGCTTCTCGAGCACCACTGTGCGGCTTTACAGACGTGGAAAAGTGCAATTACGTCAGTCGTCGCGGACAAGCATAAAAATCATTTTCATCGAAATTTGAGAGAAACGATTTTACGCTCGCTAATGGAGGGAATATTTTGCCAGGTATATCCACATACATTTACATGCTCGTCAGACGAGCAAAAAGCCTCCGCGGACTTCGTCTACATATTGATTAATTCAGCGACTGGTTCGATGAATTACGTGTCGGACAGTTAGTCTGTCCGCTGAACGTTACCGAGTTATCGAATGCAAACAGTCATTCTGTCAGCCTGTTAAATGAGTTTCGAGGGGTCTGTATTTATCAGAGAGGCACGGCGTAGTCTCGTAGAATAGATGACGCTTATACTTTCAAAGACGCGTCCCCCCCCCTCCCTCCCGACGATCGTTAGCATGAAAACCGACATCGGACGCACGATCTACACCTGTTATTTAATCGCCGAGCGGAAAAATCGACGAGTGAAATCGGTAGGGACGTCGAAGAATCACGCGCGAGAGAGTCAACGTTATCAGATGTTCATCAAAATCCTATGTTTCGCGTTTTGCGCGATAAATGCCGGAAGCGGCGCGAAGCGACGAGGCTTCGGAGGGAAAGAGAAAACGCGCTGTACGTGCGTAGTAGTGCCCGGATAAAAACCTATCACCCAACGAGCTATTCCTTCCGCCTTCCAAGAGTCACGTCCGTCAGGCTTTTATCGGCCTTGTAACGACAAGACCATGGATATCTCAGCTCCATTTAGGGACCGACGAGAGAGTGTCGGTCTCGCGTTACAAAGTTGACGAAAATGCGCCGTCGTTAATTGGTAAGGAGAACCTGTCGGTGTCTCTCGGTTTACAACCATTCCCAAGTGTGTTCCACGGGAGAAGGTTGAATTTTATTTTCATCTCCAGAGCGCGCGCGCACGAACTTTCTACAAATAAGCTAACACACCGCGAGACCCCGGGAGCTTAGTAGATTGAAAAGTTGCAACGCTACAGCTTGGTACAAAACGCGGAATGTTGATCTTCCTCAAGTCGGTTTGGCTTTCCTAGATATTACAACAGAGAGAAGAGGGTCTCCAAGTCTATTTTTGTGTCTTAAAACAAGACTTTTGAGTTTAATCGCCCGTGAGGCAAACAAATGGCGATAGAGTAGCCTGCCATTTGCAGTCAGCGATATTCGCCGAGTGGAACAGTTTAAAAGGATTGGCGTAAAAGCGTCCTCGGCAAGTGTAGGAGCTTTGACACTTCGGAGGAGATCCATTTGGATGTCCAGGGCGCCGCATAAGTTTCGCGTTTCAGTGTCCACAAAAGGAACGTCGCGCATACCACCGTGGACCAACAATGCGCGCATCTTTCATGCGACTTGTGTCAACAAGGCGTTCGCCTCCTCTGTGGATTTTCGTCCATCGCACGCGCCACTTTAGCGAGCCGATCGCTCGTCGCTCGTCGTATCGATCCAGAATTCGAGAAAGCGCGACTAGTGGACGGCGCTGAGGATTTTAGTTAAACAAATAAGAGGGACTGGTCCTCGAGTTAAAGGCCTGAGACGCGGACGCCCGTCCGCGCCATACGAATTCGATTTCGCGGGACTTACCGTCGCCCCTTGCAAAATAAACAAGAGCGCGGGGAAAGCCCCGCGAACGACTCGTCCTCGCCCCCCTCGGGATGCGTTTCGCGATCCTTTGAATTTGTCTTCTGGAACTGCGATTATGTGGCAGCCCGAGTCGAAATTTTGGCCATGTGTTGAACCTTTAATTCTATTCTGTAGTAGGACCTAAGACAGCAAAAGAGGTCGAACTGCAAGTACAAAATTTACTCCTACTTAAAAACTGATAGTGTCGGACATTTCTACTTTTGCTAATTTAGCATTAAAGTAGGTGCTTTTAAGTAGGAGCTAGATTAAATTTTTAGAATTAAAGATTCAAGGGAGGAGCAAAAAATATAATGTCATCAAAGTAGGTTATTGCTGGTCTATGTAGGTGTATGGATCAGCTAAGTAGGTGTAAATTATTGAAAGTGTCAAAATAGTACCAAAATTTCGACTCGGCCCGAGTCGAAATCTTGGCCCTACGTTGAACCTTTAATTCTATTATATAGTAGGCCCTAACACAGTAAAAGAGGTCGAACTGCAAGTACAAAATTTACTCCTACTTTAAAACCGATAGTATCGAAAATTTCTACTTTTGCCAATTTAGTATTAAAGTAGATCCTTTTAAGTAGGAGCTAAAGTAAATTTTTAAAATTAAAGATTCAAGGGAGAAGCAAGAGAATATAATGTCATCAAAGTATAGGTTATTGCTAGTCTATGTAGATGTAAATTATCCTTAAAAGTATTAAAATAGTACCAAAATTTCGACTCGAGAACGTTACGTAGATCATGTATTGTCGCGAAGCGACTACGTAAATCGCGAAAGTGCTTTTGCCCAAAATCGGCCAAGTATGCAATGTTGAATATCGACTGATCTCCCTCGCAAGGTCGTATCTCGATTTGATGTAATTTTCGGTGTTTCTGCTTAAACACTCAGTTAGGACAAGAACGTTTCAATAGAAAAACCGGAAATTGTGTAAAATCGAGATACGACCTTGCGAAAAAGATCAGTCGACATGTCCCTTAGCGGCATTACTTTACGACTCTATGAAGTCGTAGATTTGCATACGCATCGTTGTTTGTTGTGCTATCAAAAATGAATTTTTAGATCAAGGAGAATCTCCTCGTTAATCTCCTTGTCCTAGCACTTTGACATCATTGCGCTGTTTGCAGTTTGACGTCTTTCGATGATATATTGCGTCGGCCGATTGTAACGCGCGTGATTTGCATTTTAATAATGTTCTATTAAAAACTTGTGCTCTCATCGTTACGAGAGCGTTATCTGTTGACGAATTTCTTCTGTCACTTTTTACGTCACATCGCATATGCAATGTTGTCGATAACGCGACTTCATTGTTTTATTATTAATCTTGCGTAATGTAATCAAAATCGTGATTCAAATTGGATCAATTATACGGAAGTAATATGTTATTCAGGAAAATGCATAATTATGAACACGTTGGTATAAACATTTCGAGCCGCACATTGTTTTGTCCCAAAGTTACAAAACATTATTAAAAAATTCCTCGCCTGTGAAAAATGCAAGTTTCTACTGTATTCTGTACTCGACAAGATTTATCATTTCTTTTGTATTATCTCACCGTATCCTTTCTCTTTTTATATATATTATATAATTTTTATATTCTCTTTTATATTTTTTTCACATTTAACTCGTTCGCTTTAATTCGATGCACATATATTTCTCTCTCTCTCTCTCTCTCTCTCTCTCTCTCTCTCTCTCTCTCTCTCTCTCTCTCTCTCTCTGTGACTTTTCATGTTCTTTTCCACAGTATGCATATATTATTGTCGCGATAATAAACTATCAATTTTGTTCTGAATCTGGTCTTATTTTCGCTCTGTACAAATGTATAATTCCCTTCTTACTAAACACGTAAAATTGATTACGAGTTTTAACCTCTAATAATTCTAAACAAGACACTTTCTACATATTTGGTAGAAGAACATTACGTTACTTTTCAAAAGTCAATTTCGCGTTTCTAATTTAGCTCTGCATTAAGGTTCATTTACACGAATCCGTGACGTGTCCGTTCAGTTCCGTGAATTTTCATATTAAGTATTAAGCCCGTACAGTTTACCAGTCTCAAGTTTAGCGAATTGTACTCTGATTGGTCAAATTTCAATCTAATCTCAATCTCGACCCGTAGTCTGATACGGGCTTCGGTGATAAGAAATGTTGTTTTCTTGTTTTTTAATGGACGTGTTGACACACGTCCGGCACAGTCCCGTATTCGGGCCGTTCAATCTTATTTGCTTCTTCTTCGTCTAAAGTTATAACAATTATTGCCAATTCGTCATCCGTAAACTTGAGCCATCTTGAAAACTATTGGATCCAAACTATGGATAGATGCGATTAACCGTCACTGATATATCACGAACACCACTGACACGGCACTGATACGGTACTGATACGTCACGAATACGTGTAAATGGACCTTTACGCGGAACGTGACTACGAACAAGATTCTGCAGTAGATTTAGTAGTTACAAATCCCGCGACACGAGCATTATTATGTAACGTTTTATATAAGATCTGGGGGTCAATTCTGTGTCTTGGAATATAGTGAAAATGCTAAAAGTGAGCGGCTTTGTCTCTTTCTAAGGGGGAGATTAGAAAGCTCGACAAATTTAAATTTACTACTTATATAATTTACCCGAGTCGAAATTTTGGTACTTTTTTGACACTTTTAAGGATACCTTACACCTACTTAGCTGATCCATACACCTACATAGACCAGCAGTAACCTACTTTGATGACATTATATTTTTTACTCCTCCCTTAAATCTTTAATTCTAAAAATTTACTCTAGCTCCTACTTAAAAGGACCTACTTTAATGCTAAATTGGCAAAAGTAGAAATTTCCGACACTATCAGTTTTTAAGTAGGAGTAAATTTTGTATTTGCAGTTCAACGTCTTTTACTGTCTTAGGTTCTACTATACAAAGGTTCAACATAGGGTCAAAATTTCGTCTCGGGAAGCTACTCACTTTTAGCATTTTTACTCTAGTGTAAGATACAGAATTGACCTCCTAATTCAAGCGGGGATCAAAGTGAGGCTTGAAATGACGCAATGAGTAAATTTATACAATCGACGCGTGGACGTAAAACGTTACGCCTAAATCTACATGTCGTCGGCCGAGATATTTTTATCCCGCTGGATTGGACGACTTTCACACTGTGGGCGGTACGCGAAGGCGTCTGTGATTCGGAGCGAGAAATCTTTGGGCTTTTGTCACCTAATTGGAAGGTGAAGAGCCGAGGCGGAGGAGGTTACTCCCTTCTCGTCTCGGTCGCTACGCCACATAATTACGTTTCGAAACGGGGATGTTCGACGTGAGGCAGAGTGCGACGCCGGTGGTCAGGTAGACGGTTGGAGAAACGTCAATTTACTTAACGAGTTCCTGCACGCGCGTTGTTCGCCCATCATCGGGATCTGCCTTCGTGTATTGGCAGAAGTTACATCGAAACATCCCGTCCCGTCAGTCGTACCCGTACGCATTGTTCTCGGTGACTGCTGACGGCCGGTTTAAAAGGATAGCACCGCACGGGAAACATAATAATTTACATCACCGGCGTGATTTACGAGAAATTCCTCGCGGCGCCAATTAACACTAGACGCGAGATAATCGACGCCTGAGAGTTGGACTCTGTTTCCGGACTTGTGTAAACCCGATCGTGGCAATGAGAGATCGCGCGCGAATTTGTAGAAGAGGACCGTTGGCCCCGAGAGGTCGTAGCTTTAAAAAATTCGCGGATAGAACATGTCGTGAAGGTCTGTATCCACGATGCCAGAACTTGGTCCAGGTTCTGGCTACGCAAAACTATGTGTAGCCAATCAACTTGCAGCTGTTCCATAAAGGCTTGGTCCAAGTTCAAGTTCCGAGAAATGTGTGGACGCAGGTCCTTAGTAGACAAGTGGTGCGGAGTCAGTTCCGAGTGATTCGAACGCAGGGCGATTCGTAATCGGCGCGACGATCCAGGTGGGAGAACTCGAATCGGACCGTCGAAATATAGGCTATCGAATACGAGCGCTCCGGATATCCGCGTAATGAGAGGAGAGGAGAGCCCCGACGAAAATGCCGCCGCCGCCGCCGCCTTCCGCCGGCGTAAAATACGACAATCGCGTCTCGCCCGGCGCGCTCCGGATTTTGTTCCTGCCCGCGGTCTCCGCGATTTCTCTCCCGTACCGGGCGCGCCGAGGTAAACAAATTTGACGGTGTTTGTTCCTGCGCTCAAGTGGTATTTCTTTCTCGCCCTCGACTCCACTGACGGCTCGAGAATACGGTTCTCACAGGCATAATAATTCGGAACTTCATCTCGGGGACCTCCCGTGCTCCGGTGACGTAGCACTTCGCAGCGCCTAAATCGTTCCCTTTGTCCGCGCCCAGGCGCGTTCATTTTTGACAGCTCCTCGCCAACTGACAAGGGATAGACGACCGCTCGCTCGCTCGCCCGCTCGTCTGGGCGAGCCCTCCTCGGTAGCACGATTCTAGAGAGGAATCGTTCAACCGTACGCGCTTAGACGTGTACTTATGAAAATATGAATATGTCATAATTATTATAATCTCTGTCACTACACTGAAGCCGTTGCTAGCATTTTTTCTGAAATTAATTTTCAATCGTTTCACTCGCGCTGTGTCTAACGTGGGGCGCAGATCCTTCCTATTTATAGATCGTGAATATATTAAATCCAGAACTTTACACGCAACAGATAAACAAGGTACACGAGAATAACTAAAATGAAAATGTTGCCGCATAAATAGTAGGGGCATCTACATTGTTTTGCGTTGCGACATTCACTAAGTTTGCTGCACAAAACGCATAGAGTTGTCTCCACTTACTTATCATACCAACGTGGGTCTGACAACCACAGATATAGCTGTCCCAGATATTACTATTTATTGGGGTTGCGTCAACCCTAATTAGACGTATGGTAGCCATATCGGTCTCCCCGTGTAGGAAACGAGATATATTTTAGCAAGAATCGTCACTTCCCACAATACTAATTGCGCATCTGTTTGGAGGAATTGCCTTACCAGGCATAAGACCATGATTTCCAGCACAAGTGGCTGTGCCATACCTTATTTATCTATTATAAATTTATATCTATCGTGTGAAAGGTCGGGACCAACGATATCAGAGCGCGGGTTCGTCGGAAAACGGTGGAAAATCCGATCGGGAAACCTGCGAAATCGATATATATGTCTCACGTCGCTTAAGCGTAGCCCGTAAGTCTTGATGAGGAAGGTGCATGCGGAAAGAGCACGCTCGCAAAGTATCATTCCCGGTTTGTTCAATATGTTTTGCAGTCTCGCGGCTGATGGGCGCCGCGGCGGCGGGCGCCGGGACCAACATGGCCGGCTGCTCGGTGGGCCAGTCGATGGGCGACATGACCAAGTCGTCGGGAATGGGGGTGGGCGTCGGCGTCGGAGTCGGCGTCGGCATGGGCGTCGGCGCGATGCAGTTCCCCCTCGCGCAGAGACGGAAGAGACGCGTGCTCTTCACCCAGGCCCAGGTCTACGAGCTCGAGAGGCGATTCAAGCAGCAAAAGTACCTCAGCGCGCCCGAACGGGAGCATCTGGCGTCCTTGATTCATCTAACGCCCACGCAGGTATGTGATCACTTGTTATTCGTATTCGCGGGCGTCCCCGCGGAATCACCAGGATGCTCCTTTAGCCGCAGATCAAACGCGTCGCGCGAAAGGCAATAGACGCCGAGCGATCGGCTCGTCTAGTTCGATTAGTTCCAAGCGCGCGAGAATCGATCGTCGTCCGGTAGGTGTTGCTCGCGCAATTGTCTGTATTGAGTCTTGCATTAAGACGAAGATATCCACGGTAGTTGTCGTTTTATCGAGCGGACAAGATAGCTGGTTCCGGCATACGCCGATTTTAACGAGCGTATTCATTTTCATTGGACGCAGACAGGTCTGGCCGGCTCGAGATGCGGTCTATAGCGGTCTGGCAACAATAAATAATTGTTACGTGGCTCATTGGCCGCATCCTGCGTTCACGCACGTAGCGCGGGTCTCCCCCTCGTTCGGTCTATCGTTCCGTCTACCGTTCGTCTCTCCGTCTGGCTCAATTCACTTATCAGCCCTTTGAAAACAAGCGCGTCGAATTGTCCGTTTGTCATCGCGACGTTTGCGACGCTCCACGAGGACGTTAAGTTATCGATGTATAACTTACGTTAAACACCATTAATATCTCAAATATCTTTTGCTCTGTAAAAATCAATCGGTGGATTGTCACTGAAAACGGTGAATAGTCACTGATTTGCAGTCACAAGTACGCGGAGAGAATTTTCTCTTAAAATTTATCCTGAAAATCACGTGCTCGTGGGACAAGACGGCATTTTGAATTTTATGACAGTTTTTTGAAATTTTACCATGCATTTTACTAGTAAAATGTATATTAAATATAATTACTACTCTCTAAAAGTCAATCAGTAGATTATGATTGAAAACAGTGAATACTTGCTGGTTCACAGTTACAAATATACCACTGCGATTTTCAGTGGAGAGTTGTGAATCAGTGATTACTCACCGTTTTCAGTGATAGTTCACTGTTTAACTTTTAGAGAGTAGTGAAATGTACGTAAAAGTTCCTCGAAGTGCCGTGTTGTCCCACGATCACGTGACTTTCAGGATAAATTTTAAAAGAGAATTCGCTGCGTGCGTACTGCCATTTTCAGTGGGACACTTATAACTGCAAATCAGTGACTGTTCACTGTTTTCAGTGATAATCCACTGATTGACTTTAAGGCCCGGTTTTTCATTCTCCGGTTCCCTGTTAACCACAAGTTTGTCGACTCTCTATCTTTCTTTATATTGTTATCCAAAACGAGACAGAGAATTATCTGGTCAACAGTTAACCAGACAATGGAAAACCGGGTCTTGGAGAGTACGGACCTACGTCGACTTGGACTTGACGCAATACGTTGCGATAGACAATTGTTCAAGCATTCCGTATGTGCGATTATGATTGGCAAACTATATTTTGGGGGTCTACGTAAATCTTCTAAATAAAATACTTAAAAAAATTTATCTTATTCATGTTGGACCAACTTAGGAACAAAGTGAACCGATTAGATAAAATTGAGAACGTAACATTTGATCTTCGCTCGTTTGCGAGACGTAGTTTGAGCTGCAAAAATTCACGTGTTTTTTTCCGGAAGCGTCCTCAAAGAGGAAACGCATCGCGTTCGGATATTTGCGACTATACGTGGCAACGAAATTGACGAAATAAAAATGCCTAGTTAGCGACAGCCAGGTCTGAAGAGAATTAAGCTTCCCACTGCGGGCGACAGACGTCTCAGAGTGGAAACGCAAGCGTTTCCTTGAACCGGAAGAGTCGAGGGCCCGCGCGATGGTGACGAGTCGATTCCGTGTCAAGCACGGAAGTCGGCAAAGAGGCCTGATTGCAATCAGCCGGGATTTTCATGCGCGCCCGGGGCGACCGGGCACAATCGGTACATAAGTTTCGACGAGTCTCATGGTGGACCGTAACGATCGCGGGAGCCACGTGATCGCGGGAGGGAAGGAAGTTGCGGACGATTTACGTTTCTCCCCGGCGCGCGTACATCGCGTAACGTTTAGTAAAATACAAATCACGTGGTTTCGTAACCACAGGATGGATACTCGTAAACGTTTCGTGAAATGTAAATGCAATGCTCCGCGCACATTTAGCTGCTCTTCTCCGTGCTTGGTTGCCCGCCTCTCTGTCCGCCAACTTGTTCTCGGCAATCGCACTTGAAATCGCCAGAATCGCAGAATCGCGAGCGAACGGCTGCCCGCCATCTCGAAGGGAAATCTCTTATCGCGGACGCAACCTGCAAAAAAAAAATGGCGACGGTGCGCGTGACGACGCATTGCATTTATCTCGTCTGCGTTCGTCTCTCTCCCTCTCTGTCTCTCGTCCCCGCTTCCCTCCGGAGCGCGTTGTCCTTCCCCCTTGGCACGGGGCACACGCAGATGGGTCCCTCCATTTTGCGCTCGCATTGTTACTCCAAGTACCCGGCCCCCTCCCCTCTTCTTCGCGCGGTGCAGTGTTACAATGCCTAGCCACTCCTGGGCATTGTTACCAGTATTGTTATTATTATCGCTACTGTTGCCGGTTGCGGCCGAGTGGCGAATGGAAAAGCAGAGGGCCGGTGGAGCCAGCTGCTACGTCGAGTGTCGCATTAGAGGCAAATTACACTTCCCCCTCCCTCCCCCCCCCGCGGTCCGCCTATCGTAGCTTTTATCCCACCTCTCTATTCCCCCCCCCCCCGTTTTTCCGAAAAGTTTCGATTTATCAGGCCGTCCGCGAAAACCTGTCGGCGACATCGAATCTTTTGTTACCCAAAACAGACGTCGCGGCAACCGCGACTTATAATTGTTGCGCGGTGTACGAGTAACGCGTACTGCACTTACCGCCGAACGTTCCCGTTTAGAAAAATAGCGGAAATGGCCGCAAAAGTATTATCAAAATGCTCGTAACACACGCGTGTAGGTACAATCGCCGGAAGTATCTTCGACTACGAAGGCGGCGTACGAATAGCGCGGGGAACGTTGTCTCGTGGAATAATGTCGGATAAGAGAACGAGAGGATCGGCGAGAGAGGAAAGAGAAAGAGGGGGGGGGAGACAGGAGGGGGAGGGGAGAGAGAAGGCAGGAAGATCGCGGCCGCGCGCGATTCAGCTACGCGAATAATAATCATAATAATGGGTTTGCGTACCACCGAGCCCTCGCCCCCCCCCCCTCGGCCTCATCCCCCTGCGCTGCGGTCGCCAACCCCATGGCGTGCGCGTCAGGAGAGGGATCGAATCCCGTGGAGCACAGAGGGCGAGCTCAATGCCGTGCAAACACGTCGCTACCGCCGTTTTCGAGATCTATCGGCACAGACGAGAGACGGAACGACCGACAGCGGCAACGGCACGGCCGTCGTGGCTCTTTGACACGATAATGGAGAAAGCGGCGCCGTTAACTCGCGGATGTTCGCCCTTAACATTAGCATTAATCCCCCCTCCGCTGGATCCTGTTCAGAAAATACGCTCCACATGTCTTTACTTTTAATTTTCCAAAGGTGCAGAATTCCACGTATCCCACCACAGATTTTTCTGCTCTCGGTTCTTCCCCGAGAATTTTTATTGCGAGGGTCAATTTATATAATTTCGCTAATATTGGAACACTTTACGCATCCACTTTCTTTCTCTTCTTTTTTATCCTCCACCACTGGCGAAATATTCTCGTAAAAATATCAAGGTTTATACGCGAGCAGTTACGTCATTATGAGAAATTTCTTCGACGCAGCATTTTGCTTTATAACCGAGAGGTGCAGCTTTTTGGACAAATCAATTGTCTTGACAAGTGTAATTGAAAATTCAAGAATTTGACGTGTCTTGAGCTACGCAGACTGGCGATTTCTTGGTTGTCAAATGCACGCGGTTAATCGAACGTCCTGCAACGCGTGCTCGCGTCTCTCAAGTGCACTCCCGGCACCCTCGCATAACGCACACATGAATATGTCGCTGGCTTTTGCAGTCCGCTTATGCGCCGCGAAATCCGCACGGACAGAATGCCGACATAATTACACTCCTTTCTGCACTTCTGTGTCATTTGTGCGGAAGATACCTGCCTAGTGATGGCACGCGAGTTGCCGCCGACGCCGCATCTACAGACCAGCGCAAAAGTTACCGAACCCCTGCTTTCCATATTTTATTTTCATACTACTTTTACCTTTTCGACTGGCATCTCTTTACATGTACATTTAAACTCTTCCATTTTTTTCCAAAAGAAACGTAACGTACGCTAGTTTTTGCTTCAATTGATGTTTCGTTTGAGATTTGGAGTCGTAAGTTTTTCTTCTCGCAAGATCGGTATCGCGTTTAGTGTCGAAGCATTTATTGGTAGATAATTATATTTTTGCAGAGTAAGATTATCTGCGGTTTGTTAAGACGAAACCGGAAGCAGCTTTTTATGCTTCGCCCTGTACGCGAGCTACAGTTCTTTGTGATGCGTTCGCGGCACTCGCGCCGAGGGTGCATATATTCGGACTGCAAATATCGACGTCCCTTAACAGCGCTTTATCGCATCAATCCCCTCAGCTGTCGATTCTGAAAAGACGCTAAAATTAAAGGCCCGTGCTAACGGAAAAAGCACGGTATCGAACGATCTACGTGTCGATAGGGATTCAGCGTCTCTTCGCCTCGTCCTTTTCCGCTCTCTTCCGAGTAATTACAGAGTGACTTGACGAGACATCCTTCGCGAAATCCTTGAGATATTCCAAGTCGAGTATTCCTTAATGATCGAATGACTTTTTAAGGACGCAGCTTAATTCAGGAATGCGAAGGCTCGGATATCTTATACTTTTATACTTCCTACTTGGATCTACGCAAACTAGGATAAAAGTGATTACTTCCCGAACTTTATTCGCGAATAAAAGGCAAGATAAGGTCGAGCAAAATCACGTGCCGTCGCGCCTTGCCGGCCGCACGAAATTACTCCACGCATCGCTTCGCGGTAACCAGAAAGTCATTTCTATTTGGGGGCTGCGGAAGACCCCTGGTTTTCAGACATCACGCTGGGTAATCGGTAAGTCATCTCCGGCCGGCGGCATTGAGTTAAAACAACAA